AATTTTTTTTAGAGTCTATACTGGAAAAAAAAAAGCCCGTGAGATTTGGGATGAATTAAGTGACATAGCGTATATAAAAGGCCTGCACATAGGGCTGGGGATGTGGCTCAAGCGGTAGCGCGCTTGCCTGGCATGCGTGCAGCCCGGGTTCGATCCTCAGCACCACATACAAACAAAGATGCTGTGTCCGCCAAAAACTAAAAAAATTAATAAATATTAAAATTCTCTCCCTCTCTCTTAAAAAAAGAAAAGAAAAAGAGCCTTAACTTGTTTAAAAAAAAAAAAAAGGCCTGCACATAATCAGTGTTCCATAGCTGTTAATCAGGGCCCAGCAGCCTTGTTACACTCCCTTGCCAGCTACTGGAGTACATTAGGAACTCAACAGGCTTCTGAAGTGAGCTTTTATGGCTTAGAAACATATTCTGAGTCCAAACAGCCAATGTATCCAGAACCTTTGGAATCCTACCTCCTTTTGTCTGGAGGAAACTTTCTGGCACCTTCTAGACATGCCTCTGCACCTCCGTCTCTCCTTCTGTAAGGACAATAATTCACACCCCCAATGCTCCCCATGTACAGGTTGTTTTCAGGACTTCAGAACAGCTCACAAGGCTCAGCGTGCTGCCAGGAACATGGAAGCATCAGGATGGGCTGCTGCTGGCTCAGCACACACACCCTGCAGGCTCACTTCCTGGCCTGTAAACACGTAGGAAATGCCACTCATGTGTTCCCTCAGCGGGTGCCATGTGGTTCCTGCTCTTTAAACAACCCATCAGGCACAAAGCACTCCAGAGCAGCCTCGCTGGAAGGGATGAGGGGCCAGATGGCTCAAGATGCTTTCTATGAATGATTTGGGGCAAGGGGGAGGGTCCCAAAGGTTCTGGATAAACTGTCCAGAACTTAGGCTACCAGAAAGCAGGTACTCCATTTTGTCCGTTGTGATGTTGCACACACAATTTCAGAGTGACCCACCAACAGGATGACCCTTCTGGGACCACCTGGAACATTCCATAGCTAGCCACAGTCCCACCTGACTAGATGGTGTACCTGAAGGCCACAACAACCAGGGGTCCTGGGGAATCCTGAAGACTTTGGTCTGGCCAAGGTCTTCTGGATCCCAAAGTGGAAGAGAAGTGACAAGGCAGGTCAAAGAGGCAGATGCTTCTTCCTCACCACTGGCTCCACCAGGGCCAGGAGCCCTCCTTGTCCCTTTACTACTGTCTCACAGCTTCAGTTCCCCATCTCACGCCTCTGCTCACACACGCCCCACCCTAATGCACACAGGCTACAGTCACCACACACCACTGTGCCTGTAGTCCATCCCATGTACCTCTCCCTCTTTCCTCTCTATCCCCGCTCCCTCACCCCTCCTTTCAGACCACAGCCCTCCCAGCGCGGCCCGCGCCTGGCCCCATAACAAACGTGAGCGCCTTCCCGCTGCCCAGCAGCCCCTGCCCCGCCCGCGTCCCGCGCCAGTGCCCGCTTTCCAAGCCCTGGGGGCGCTGCGGCGCGGCTGTGCCGCCGGGGGGCGCTCTTGGTCCGTGAACGCAGACTGGCGCTGTGGCCGCGAGGGGGCGCTCTCGACGGCCTTCGCTCCGTTCCGTGCTGACCTACACCCGCGAGGCCCGGGGCCGCGGACGAGCAGGAACCGAGAGGGGCGCGGGGCGGCCCAGGGAAGGAACGTGCTGATCGACAGGAGCAAACACTAGGGGCACACGAGAGGGACACAGAAGGGGCGAGCGGGCGGGGCGGGAGTGCAGCCCGGGCAGGACCGCGGCGGGGGCGGCCTGCCGGGGTGCCCTGCGCGCCTCCGCCTCCGGATTCCTCCCAACCCGCCGGGTCGGGGGCCGCGGTGACGTCAGCCGCTGGCACCAGCTCAGCCGCGGCTCCTGGCAACCGCTACGCCGGTGGGGCTGGGCTTGCGGGTGCGGGCGCCCCAAGAGGTCCCTGCCCCGCAGACCCGGGCGCGCTCCCGCAGGCCCAGGCACAGCCCGCGCCCTGCAGGCCGCGCTCCCCGGGGCCGCGTGCCCGGAACGTGATTCAGCGCTTTCACCGGGCCTCGGCCTGCAGGGCTAGAGGGCACGGGACCGCAGCCCGGGCTTGGGGACGGGGACAGGGTCTGCATAGGTGCCCCACACATGCCCCCCCCCCCCCCCGCCAGAGTACTGGGGAAGTCACTTCCCTTGTGGAGGGCCTCGATGCATCTGCTCAGAGGGTGCATGGGGAGCACAGGGCTATGGGGCTAGATTGGAGAGAAAAAGACAAGCCACGTGAGCAGGTCAGGGAACTTTGAGAAGGACAGGTGTGTGGCCTGGCCTGGATTTTGAAGGATGCGAAGAGGGACCTCAGGAAGAGGACCCTATTTATGGGAAGTAGGGAAGCGAGCAAGGGTGTCCAGAGAGTCCAGAGGAGAGAGGTGTTTGACAGGAATGGAGGGAGTGAATCCTTGGGGTCCAGGTATCAGTTAAGGCTGGGCTGCATTTGGCCAGGAGCCTTAGAGGGACAGGCTGAGAAGCAAGAATGGCCTGTGACTTGGACACAAGTGAGGAGGCCACCCCAGTGACCCAGGCAATAACTAGAGTGGGCGCAGGGAGGCAGTAGTGAGACCATCAGGACTCAGGCAGTGGGACACTGTGTGAAGTGGTGGTGGTGGGTTGGGGGATTCTCTAGAACTACTGACTAGGGCTGGGGGACAAGGGAAGTCCTGTCTGCAGCCGCTGAGGGCCAAGTTTCCAGTTCCCAAGCTGAGGTCTTGTCACTATGGTTGGAAACCCAGAGAGTTCGTTCCCTTGCTTGGTAACTACCTGAGGCAAGAGATGACTCTGTGGGTTGGGAGTGGTCCCCAGTGTACTCTTGGGACCTAGCTGGTTTTCCTCTGTCTGCCTAAGCGTGTCCTCCACACCTATAGAAGGGTCCTCCTTATACCTGAGATTTGTTGAGTGAATGAGTGATCATAGAGAGGCCAGAGACAGGCAAACGCTCTCAGTGTACATTACCTTTCAATAAGGCCACATTTCAAGGAGGCTGGGCCTGGGATCTCTGAGGGCAGGGACTGCAGACCTGAGCTGTGTTTCTCCTAGCTCCCCACTGTTTACCCAGCTACAAGCTCTGTCTTTTGGATCTAGCCTGCCTTGTCTATGCTGGTGTCCTCAGCTGTGTCCTCCCTCTGTACCTCAGAGACCTGTTATGTAAGCCATACCAGAAGGCTCCCAAGGCCTTCTGCAGACTAAAGGTCCCTGCTTCTATGATGGACAACTGCTCCAGCTGCTCCCTTCCTCCCACAGAGAGGGCACCCTCACCCCTCCAGGTGTCTGGGCCTTTAGCTGCCCAAGACAAGACTCAGAGCCTGCTGCCTGCCAGAGGCCAAACAGCTGATGCTTTTCCAGAACTCAGGGCCCAGCCCAAGATCTTCCCCACAAACATGAGCTGCAGACAGCAGCCAGGAGCCCCAGGAGAGCAGTCTATGCCATCAGTAGGGGAAGGGCATGAGTGCTGGGCAGGCAGAGGACAGAACCCCAACATTTGTCCTTTGACCTTGAGGCATTCTGCAGACTGCTGGAGTGAAAAGGGGAAGGGAGTGTGGTGGAGGTTGGCCCCAGACTGAGTTCTTGAACCACCAGATAGAAGAGCCAGGGGTCAGGGTGGTAGGGAAGACAGGCTATCCAGAACTCTGGCCAGCTGGAGGCAGAATGAGCATCCAGAAGCACTAGCCCTGTTCCCGCCTAATGTGGCATTGCCAGTGTTGAGGTTGGTTCAAGTTTGAGTGAGACCCCCAATGTGTATAACCAACTGCCTTTTCCCACAGGAGAGCAGGAAGGGTTGGCACGAGTTCTATCAGGATTGGCCCTGGAGTGGTCTGGCCATTGGGTATGGTGAACCTGTCCTGGCCCTGCTGAACACGGGAATCACGGGCACTCCTGCACTGCTCCATTAGGGGTCTCCCAGGCAGGTGTGGGGAGGACAGTGCATTGTGTTGAGGATGCTGTGGGAGACCAGACCCATATGAAGCCCAGATGGAAGGGCCAGGATTGGGGACTCAGAGCATGTCACCCCACAACTGTGTCCTGAAGGGCGTTATCAGGGTGAAAGGGTAGAGGGCAGGGTTAAGGGCTGGAAGAGTAGAAATAGTGATTCCAAGTAATGTTAATGTGACTAGTCACAGAGGGGAGGGTTGGATGGCAAGATGAGCAGCAAACAGGAGGGGGATTTCGATCGGGAAGCCACTGCAGTGTCCTGACCAGAGAAGTGACTTGGTAAAGGTGCACTTGTCAAGAGTCACACTGGACTTTACGCCCACCGTATGGAGTGTCCAGCAGCTCCCTGGGTCTGCCAGCCACTGCCTGCCATGATCTGAGCAGCTGCCTTCCACCAGGACCTTCCGCCAGGACGGTCTGCCTCTCCTCGGGCCCAGAGCCATGGAGCTGGCCAACCATGGACTGTACTTCAAAGCTGTAAGCCTTCACCCACTCCCCTCCTTCCGCCTGGAACTGCTTTCTTCTCTGGGTTTCGAAGTGAATGTCCATGTGTGCTCTTTTAAGGATGAACCCGGGGTGGTGCCCTTGAATATGGCAGCTGTACCACACCTGTCTATGTTTCTTTTTTCTTCCTAAACCCCACCCAAATTAAAAGTGAAGGAATTTTAAAAAAAAAAAGCCTCATACAAGAATGTACATAAGCTTATTTACCATAGCCTGACTGGCAACAACCCAGATCTCCATCAAGAGGCCAATGAGTGAATGACCTGCATAACCACTGACGGAATACTCCTCAGCCATAAAGAGGATGCATGCAACAGCAGAGTTGAATTTCAAATCTGACATGCTGAAAGGAGATAAACACAAAGGACAAACTTGAATGGGGCCATGTGTGTGAAATTCTAGAACAGGCAAAACTGACCATGGCAATAGATATCCAGTTAGTGGTTGCTTGGGAATGGGATTGTGTTAGTCTTTTTTTTTTTTTTTTTTTTTTTTGCTGTGACCAAAATATATGACAAAAACAACTTAGAGGAAGAAAAGTTTATTTGGGGCTCATGGTTCCGGAGGTTCCGTCCATGGTTGGCTGATTCCATTGCTCTGGGCAGGAGGCGAGGCAGGGCATCATGGCAGAAGGACCTGGGGGGAGGAGAGCTGTCAGCTCATGGCAGTCAAAGAGCCGAGAGCAAAAGCGAGGAACTGGGGACAAAATATAATTCCCTAAGGGCATGTCCCCAGTGACCTACTTCCTCCAGGCATGCCTTACCTGCCTAGAGTTAGCACACAGTAATCTATTCAAATTATCAATCTGCCAGAGGTATCAATCCACTGATGATGTCACGTCTCTAATAATCCAATCACCTCACCTCTGAACATTTTTGCATTGCCACTTGAGCTTTTCAGGGGGTACCTCATGTCTAAACCATAATAGGGCTCTTGGTGGGAATTGACTGGAAAGGGACACAAGGGGAACTTTCCATGTCCTGATAGGCATTTGTCAAAACTGATGGAACAGGGGCTGGGGATGTGGCTCAAGCGGTAGCGCGCTCGCCTGGCATGCGTGCGGCCCGGGTTCGATCCTCAGCACCACATACAAAGAAAGATGTTGTGTCCGCCGAGAACTAAAAAATAAATATTAAAAAAAAAAAAAAAAAAAAAAACTGATGGAACAAGCGGGCACAGTGGTACAGGCCTATAATCCCAGTAATTTGGGAGGCTGAGACAGGAGTATCACAAGTTTAAGGCCAGCCTCAGCTGTTAAGTAAGACCCTCAGCAACTTAGTGAGATCCTGTCTCAAAATAAAATAATAATGATAATAAAAAAAGACTGGGAATGTAGCTCAGGGGTAAAGCACCCTGGGTTCAATCCACAGTACTGAAAACAAAACAAAACAGAATGACTGAACAGTAAGTGGCTTCGGATCTGAGGGCTAATTGTATGTGAATTTTACCTCAACAAGAAAAAAAAAATCCATAAGAGGAAAACAGAAAGGGACAGGGGAGAGGAAACAAAAACTGGTGAGGGGTTTCAACAGGGTTAGGCTGAGAACAGAGGAGAATGACAATGAGAATCAATGTCACAGAACAGAACTGCGGTGGACCTGCAGCATAGAATTCCAAAAAGAAGTCACATGATTTTCTCCAGATTCTGCAAAAGGTCAGAGCACAGAGCTGAAATGTGTATACTGACAGCAGATCTGGAGCACCCCTGCCCCATCTTCCTACCTGCTGCACAGGGAGACTGTAGCCCTCCTCATCCTCCACGTCACTGAGATTAGAGGCTCCTTTTCTGGAGCAATGGAACCAGGCTCTGGACCAAGGCACATCAGGTACTTGGGGTGGTAGGGATTAGTCACTGGTCTGAAAACAAGGCTATTAAGTTAAAGTCCACCTGAACAAAGAGATCTTAGACCCCTTTCCTGGACCAGCACCCACTACATCAGCCTGAAGCCCTCAGGAATAAACTAGACTTTTCTCTGAACTAACAAAATGACCTCAGGGGAATAGTCTGCTGGTACTGATTGTTAGGGCTCCAGGTCATCTCACAGTGAAGTCCAATAGTTTGACCAACTACTCCATTTGCTGAGCTTGCAATTAGCGCTTTTTTTTTTTTCTTTTGGTGATGCCGGGAAGTAAATGGGTGCTCTGAATGCAGAGACTCCTCAGTAGACAGGCACTCCACCACTGAGCCACATCCCCAGCCCTTTCTGTTTTTTTGAGACAGAATCTAAGCTGAATTGTTGAGACTGATTCGAACTTGTGATCCTCCTGTTTCAGCCTCCCAAGTAGCTGGGATTACAGGTGTGCGCCACTGTGCTGGGCAAGTGCTTCAAACATAAACATAAGTAAAATAAAGGTATTGTGTCCATCTACAGCTAAAAATATTTTTAAAAAAGAAAGGTAAAAGATATTGCAACCATGAAGCAAAACCAAGATGATATATAAAAAGGAAAAAAAAATCAGCCAGTTGTGATGGCACATCGCACAGTGGCTCAGGAGGCTGAGATAGAGATCAAAGCCAGCCTTAGCAATGGTGAAGCACTAAGTAACTCAGTGAGACCCTGTCTCTAAATAAAATACAAAATAGGGCTGGGGGTGTGGCTCAGTGGTCGGGTGCCCCTGAATTCAATCCCTGGTATCAAAAAAAGGGGGGGGGTCTGGGGATGTGGCTCAAGCGGTAGTACACTCACCTGGCATGCATGCGGCCCGGGTTCGATCCTCAGCACCACATACAAACAAAGATGTTGTGTCCGCCGAAAACTAAAATAAATAAATAAATAAATATTTTTTTTAAAAGGGGGGGATATCAGAACTAAAAGAGGTCTTGGGAATTTAAATATGGTAGTAGAAAAACAAAGTTTTTCTATTGGAACTGGAATGCCTTTAGCCGCATCCTTCATCACATGTTCCACTGGAACACTGGATGATAAGCAGAGGCAATCACCCAGAGAGTCAAACAAGGTAAAGTGATAGAAAACAAGAGAGAAAGCATAATCCATTTATTTAAGGTTAAACATCTGAAAATAGTAATTTCAGACCAAATGAAGGGAAAGAAATTATGAAAGAAATCACTTGAGACACTTTCTCAGCTTAAAAAGGTCCATAAGAGGCCCATCAATGAACAACAAAAGACCCATACTGATGGGCACTGCCATGGACTTTCAGCACATCAGGGAAAGAGTGAAGACCCAGCTTGAAGAGGCCGCTCCAGTCACTGCAGTAAGGCCACATACTCCCCAGCCCAGAGGTCTTGCTCATCTCTGTGGCCTCCCCCAACCCCTGCTCCAACTCAGCCCAAAGGTATTAGGAATCAGGTCACCAGAGGAGCAGCTGGCCTGTGTGTCCAGCACCAGGCATTCTGGGCTTCCTCCCTCGCCACTGGAAATCCCCCTCCTGCTCCCATCTGAGTCCCTCTAACTGGAGACAGGAGTTGCCTGGAGCTGGTCTTGAGGTAGGATAAAAGAAATAAGAAAGAGCCAGGTGTGGTAGCACACACCTGTAATACCAGGAGCTTGGGAGGCTGAGGCAGGAGGATTTCAAGTTCAAAGCCAGCCTCAGCAACGGTGAGGTGCTAAGCAACTCAGTGAGACCCTGTCTCTAAATAAAATACCAAATAGGGCTGGGGTGTGGCTCAGTGGTTGAGTGCCTCTGGGTTCATTCCCCAGTACAAGAAAGAAAAAGAGAGAGAGGGAGGGGAGGAGGGAGGGAGGTGTAGAAAGGAGACAGAGAGGAAGGACAAGAAATTGGGATTTTAACTCAGAAATTCTGCATACTTTTCAGACTTGTCATTCCCTTCTAGGTCTTCCAAGTCTGCTACTCCCAGCTTCCTGAAAAATCCGAAAATCTACCTGTTCAGTGTTGCTTAATCCCCCATTAGTAAGATTAAGCAAAGACAGATATAATATCTTGAGGAAACTATAATTTAGGGGACGTTACAGCACTGTGTGGATTGGATAATGCAGATCATGTCAGCCTCAGGATCCAGAGAGTGACCAGATCATCTTGAGATCCTACACAGCTTTCCATACCCATCCGTCACCAAGTTTCCTTTAAAAGAAGAGCCAGGAACCCCAGAAATGTCTCTCTCTCTTTCTCTCTCTCCCCCATTCTCCCTTGAATGTGTATTTCTTGTTTAACCCCAAAGGAATCTCTCTCTTGAGATGGCCGCAGTGTTTTCCCTTGAATTTTGTACTTTTCATATATATGTTGTAGATGGACACATTACCTTTATTTTACTTTATTTTTATGTGGTGCTGAGGATCAGACCCAGGGCTTTGCACGTGCTAGGTGAGCGCATCCTGCTGAGCCGCAGCCCCAGCCCTGTATCCACTTTTCTAAATGAACCTGTGTGTACCTGAAATTCTTTTCCATCATGTAAGCCAAGGACCCCGCTGGTCCTGAGTCCAGCTTCCCCTCTTCTCGGGAACTCCTCAGACCCTTCTTCAGAGGCACTTCTTCCCAGCGACAGTTTGACCTGCTGGTGGTCAGTACCTCCCCAACTCCCTTAGTGTCCTTCCCCCTTACTTCTGCCCCCTCCTCACACCCTGCTGGCTGCCACTAGCCAGCGCTGGACTCCTGCATGTGAGCCTGTCCACCCCAGCAGCCCACACCCAGCCTCTTCCCTCTCCTCCCTTCCTGCCCATTTGAGACCCTCTTCCTCTTCTAGCCCTTAGTGTTCTCCTCCCCCCACATCCTGGATCCACTCTCTCCTGGGCTGTGGGGAAATGCCCTTCTCTCCTCTAATCAAACACACTCTGGTCTCCAATCTTGAAAGCTTCCCTTAGGCCTGTCCTCATTGGAACCACTGTCCTTGCCCCTCCTTCCTTTCTCCCTTTTAGGAGTGCTGAGTTTGGGGCCTGCTCTCAGACTTTGGCTATATCCCCACTTCCCCTGTAAGAAAATTGCTCTGTAGGAGGCCACAGGGACCTCCTGGGCAGATGCTGCCTTCCTGCCCCCCACCCCGGCCGCTCCATGGGCAGTGCTGGGCCCTGTGGACTCTCTCTTGCTGCAAGGTGCGGGTGGGGCCCATGGAAACAGGGGTGCGGGGGAGGCAGAACTCCCCCTGCATGCTCAGCATCTGGATGGCTGGGATCTCCTCTTTTCCCCTCTTGGGGCTCTCAACCCTGGTCCCTGCCTTATTGTCCCCTAACAGTGGCCCTTCCTGAAGCCCCATCCCTTGTCTCTGCTGCCAGCTCTGTTCTCATTTCTGTGAGACTCCATGCACCTGGGCCTTTAGCCGCATCCTCCATCACATGTTCCCTGTGACTTGTCTTAGCCCTGGATCTCTCTCTCTCTTGGGTTTCTGGTAGCCACCTGCTGATGATGTCTCCTCTAGACACACTAGGGTGACCTCCATAGGACGTGCTGAAGCCAGCAAATGCCCCGACCAGGTGGGCTCTGCTTGTCATTGTACCTAGCTGTCCTTAGTTTTCCCAGATTTTCATTTTGTAGCTGCAGCTTAATTTCTTTTTTAGTTGTAGAGGGACACAGTACCTTATTTTATTTATTTATTTTTTGATGTTTTGCTGAGGATCAACCCAGTGCCTTACGCGTGCTAGGCAAGCGCTCCACCCCTGAGCCCCAGCCCCAGCCCTGTAGCTGCATCTTGCTTGTCACTCGGGTCTGTGCCTCATCTCTTCTCTTAGGGAGCAGTGCCTTTCCCAAGTTCTGCTGGAGGCCACCACAGGTCACCTGCTTGGAGGGGTCTTGGAGGAACAGGATGGAGAATCAATGTTCAAGGCAAGTGGAGGGAGTTTTCTTCTATGGGCATCAACCAGGCTGTGATGCACCGATGGGCCCCAGGGCCACTCCACACCCTGAGTTAAGGGCGACCTATGGAGAACACCTCACGGTGCTTGACCTGTTCCCCATCCACCCCATCCACCCTAGGGTATCCCAGGGGCCTCCCGTCCCTCACCCACCCCAACACACCCCACATACCTGGTTATTTCCTAAGCTCTTCCTGCAGACGGGAGCTCCCTGGGTCTGAGGGTGTAGAGTCTTCAGCTTGGTCAGGAGGTCAGGGATGGACATCAGTTCCTCTTCATGGCCCCTGTCTCTCTGGGCCCAATTGGAGAGTAGTCTTTGGCTTATTCTCTCCCCTGCTTGAATTTTTTCCATCTGGGACATTCTTAATGCTCCACTTACTCCAATAAAACCTGCACATGAACTAGGGAGCTGGAGGGGCCCAGGGAGTGTGTGTGTGGGGGGGTGAAGTCCACTCACCCACCCCTCCCCATCCTGCCCAGAAGACAGGGAAGTCTCCAGGAAGCCAGGGTTAATCTTTAACTAAATACCAGGCCTTGGCGCTCTCGGGCTCCCCCTGAGTCCACCCCCCGCCCTGGTGTTGGACACTGGCCACATGAACCTGGGCTGCCAGGGGTCTGAAGTACCGGGCTCAGCAATCTCAGGGCCCTGTCCTGTCCTGGTGCACAGTGGAGTGGGGCCTGGTAAGGATAGCTGAGCTGGGCACGGCTCCACTCTGGAGACCTTGTGGTCAGCGTACAAATAGGTAAAAGGCCCATTTGCTGACTCTGTGGGTTTGGATGGAATAATAAAAGAAGAGGAGGGGACTCGAGTGCCAGTTTCTCCACACCAGCCCTGCTTCTTGGCTCTCTGTGTTTCTCATTCCTGGGACACCTGGGACTAGCCCAGGGGGATTGAGGCCAGAGGAGCAATGAGAATGAAGGTCTCCTTGCCTCTCTGCCTCCCACCTCCCTCTCTGGGTTCCTTCTTGCCCAGTATCCCATCTCTGGCTCCTTTCCTGCAAAATCCCAGGCAGCCTCAGGTGGCATTCAGGGCACCAACTGCCTTTTCCATAGGTGAGCCACCCAAACACACAGGGCCAAGCAGTGGCCAGTCCTTGCTTCCACAAAGCAGCATGGGGCTTGCCTCGGAGTTCTCCCTGGGCTGGAATGCCCTCTCCCCGAACCACAGACTCCAGGGGCTTCAGGAATGTCCCCAGCCCAGTGTCCTGAGAACCCCTTGATGTTGACTAGGTCGAGCATTTTGCCCAGGCCACTTCCACTTCCGTGTGTGTGTGTGTGTGTGTGTGTGTGTGTGAGAGAGAGAGAGAGAGAGAGAGAGAGAGAGAGAGAGAGATTGACCTGCCAGTCAGCACGTTCATTCATTTGTTCATTAAACACTCAACACATTGGCCGCTGTTGGAGGCTCCACTTGTAGGAAGGAGCAAGACAGCCAGGTTGTCTGCCCACAGGGGTCTGTGGACCTATAGGGCTGCGTCTGCTCTACCCTCCCTGCTCACCACTGCCCAACTCAGGCACAGTTCACTTGGGGCAAGTTGCCTGAGTGAGGGAGGAGGGGGGCGGGACGGCCTGTGGGGATAGGGCCACTGACTGAGAACAGTTGGCCACTTCCCAGCTTCAGCTTAATCCCCTGGGCAAACAGCAGAGGGCCACCCAGGCTCAGCTTCAAAAGGCCAGGTGGGGGTGGGCCGTGGTGGAGGAGGTGAGCTGATGGGGGTGTGCAGGCCACAACCCTGTCCAGTTCCTGGTATTCTTGCTTCCTGAGGGCTCAGCTAAGCTGCTTCCTTCTAGGGGGAAGAGGGCTGGGCCTCTAGTCCTACCCTCAAAAGAGGGTATTATGGTGGGGCCTGGGGCCAGCAGTTGAGGGCTGCAGGGGAGCTGAAGGGGCCAGCAGAGAGACCTGGGGCCTGGCATCCCCCTTTGCTTACTGTACATCCCCACCTTTCCTTGCCTGGCTTCTGGGGGACAGTGTCCTTCCAGCTGGTCCCATACAGGGAAAGTTCAGGCCCCAACATGTCCACCCTTTGAGGTGGCTGTGACCCACACCACTTGGACGCAACAGAGAGGTGTGGACACAACGGGGAGGGGGAGGAAGGCAACCTGTGGGCTCCCGTGTGCTTCACTCCCTACCCTGCAGCTCACACTGGTCAGCCTGGCCCTGGGCCCTGCATGGGTGGCCTCATAAAGCCCCCTCCTCTGCCTAGGTCCTCCCTTCCCTTGTCACCTGTGTTTGCTTCCTCCTCCACATACAAGAATGTGTCAGCAGGACCTGGGCCGCTGGCCCACCCCATTGTTAACAACACCCTACTCCCCACCCTGACAGGCCCAGACCTGCCCCTGGGGCCAGGCCGCTGCCCCTGCTGGAGTCCAAATACACCTGTTTACCTTTGGGCCTGAGCCCAGGACGGAGCAGCAGTGACTCCTAGCACCCCCTCCTTTTCTGCCTGCCCTCCAGCTCCCCCTTGTTGTCCTTAGTGGTCTGGGCCCCAGGTATGGGTTGTCTGTGCCAGGGGTTGGGGGTGGGAACAATTCCTTCTCCAGGTCTAGCTCAGCTCTGCAGGGGGCCTGGCCAGTTTGTTCCAGGAAAGCAGGATAAAGTATGGGACCAGGGGGATCCCCAGGGGACTTCCATACCCCCTGGGTGGCCTGTCCTAAGGAACTGGAAGTGTCCTGGGAAGGGAGGAGGAAGCCTCCAAAGTTCAGTTGCTGTCCTTTCTTCTCCCTTTCTGGAACCAGTTTTTCTGGCTGGGCTGGGGGGCAGATAGGAGAGGGGTTAGAGGGAAAAGGCAGGACACTGGGGACAGAAGAGTGGCTCATTCCCTTAGGAAAAAGAATGAATGCCTCAGGCACTGGTCACTGCAAAAGGGGTTTGCATCCTGGAATGAAACCGGCTCAGAGAACTTGAGTCATAAGCTTAAAGCCACACAGCTTAAATGAGGTAGAACAGCAAAGGTATCATGTGATTTAGATCACAATGCTGGTGCAGAGAGGAGCTTTTGGGGGACAGCCTGCAGAATTTGGATGGATTCTGTGCCTTGGATGAGATCATCAATTCTGATTTTGATGGCTATGTAGACATGTCCCTGTTTTTTTTTTTCTATTTTTTTTTTTTTTAGTTGTAGATGGACACAATACCTTTACTTTTATTTATTTTTATGTGGTGCTGAGGATCGAACTCAGTGCTTCACACGTGCTAGGCGAGCACTCTACCGCTGAGCCACAACCCCAGCCTGACATGTCCCTGTTTTATGGAAATGCACACTGAAGTATTTAGTGATAAGAGGGTGTCATGTTTGCAACTTGCTGTTGAATGGTACAAAATATAATTTGGTAGAGATTACACTGAATCTATAAATAAATAGGAGGTAAATGAACGTTTTTTTTTTTAAAGCCACCCTGCTAAGGGGCAGGTGGGAATGAAGAGGCCTGTAAAGATGGGGCTTTCCCTACCACTGACGCTGCCTGCAAGCCCCCTCCAGAGCCCCCTCGCAGGTTTGGCTGCACATTGGAAGTGTCTGGGGACTTTAAAAATGCAGAAGCTGGGGCCCCATTCCAGAGATTTTACTCTGGTTGGTCCACATGCAGCTTGGGCAAGTGCAGCCAGGGGCACGCCTCACACTGCCTCTATGGCCCTGTGCACAACCAGGTTCTGGTGACCCTGACATTGCCCCCCTTCCTCCCAGCATGGGCTAGGGCAGGCAGTGACTCGCCCGCTATCAATCCATGGTGTATCCACCTTGGCCAGGGCTGGAGGCTGATCCTGGGTGTTAGTGAAGAGGCTGGACTCCCCTTCTTCTTGTTCTCTTAATGCCGTGGTCCCCGGGAAAGGTAGGGGTGTGTTGGGTGGTGGGGAGAGAGAAGGAGCTGTTGGAGTGGAGGCCCTGCTGGGGCAGCCCTCTCTGTGTAAAGGAGACAGGGACTGACTTCTGGGCTCAGTAAGGCCCCAACCCTGCCTGTCCTGCAGTGTGTGTGACCTTCTGAAATATTTGGAATAATTAGCAAGTGAAAGCAGCAAGTTAGACTGAGGAGTGCCAGGCTGGCCTACAGCCCAACTCAGGACAGAGCAAGAAAGGGACCGGGGAGAAAGCAGTCCATGGAGGCTGGGCAGGATTGCTCAGGACAGTGCCCATTTTTTGCTGTGTGTGTGTGTGTGTGTGTGTGTGTGTGTGTTTGTGTATGGGACCGGGGATGGCTGCACACCAGAGAGGCATGTATGTGGGGTTGGGTGGGGATTGGGTAGGGAGGTGGGTAACAGACAAAACTAGGGTGAGGGGATCGAATGGTGCCGGCTGTCACCTAGAGACAGGTACCGTGCCTCAGTTTCCCCATCAGGACTCTAGTAACCTGGTCCCTCATAGAGTGGACCTGATGGTGTGACTGAGGGCAGAGGGTCAGAGCACCCTATGCCCATTCCCTAGTGGCCTTCTTCCTCCCCAAACTGGCACTGGGTCAGGTCAGGTGACCCAGAGTGGGAAACTGGGGCCCTCAGACCTCACACCCCATCCCTCCAGGAGAGGACCTAGCAAGGGAGGTGCTGGACGCACGCCCAGGCCATGGCTGCTGACTCTTGACAGGCAGGCGGGCGAGCCCAGGCAGGCCCTTGTGGTGGGGGATAGCGTGAGTCCCTGGGGCCCAGTGGGGAGGCAAACCTCCTCCCTTTGTCTCCTGCTCCCCTGGGGCTCTGGGCACAGTTCTCCCCATTGCGCAGATGGAGGCGCTGAGGCCCAGGCTGCAGGGGACTCCTGAGAGCCGCTTCTTGGTCCTTTCCTCCCAAGGGACACTGAGGTCGTGGGGAGTTGGATGGGGGGTCCCTCTGCAGGCTCTCGCTGATCCCCATCTTTCTTCCAGTCACTCCTCCTCGGGCAGCCCCTCCCCACAAACCACCTGGCCCGCGTCTTTCCCAAAGAAAGCTGTGTAGACATCCTTGTTCAGATTTTTTAAAAATTTAGTTTAAAAAATTTTTATTGTAAATAACTTTCCATGAAAAAGGTTAAATCGCCCCATGCAGAGGGCGGATGCTGGATGTAGCCCTGGGGATCAGGGTGGAGCAAGACCACAACCCCGAGTGAGGGCAGGGGCATGGGGCTGCCCCCTTCCTGGTCCCAGTGGTCCCAGCAAGCTCAGTCCCTCCCAGTTAAGTCTTAGCTACAGCTACTCACTACATTAGTCTGCCTGTCCTCCCTGCAGCTTTGCTGCCGGGGCCCTAACTCCCCAAACCTCAACTTCCTGCTGCTCTTAGCCTCAAGTCAGGCCCAAAGATTAGGGATTGACATCCTTCGTCCTACCCCTAAGGATGGGGTCAAGTGAAGACCCAGAGGCCTTAGAGAGCATCTCCTTGCCCTACCTTGTGCCCCCACCTCATTTCTGCCTCCTCTCGGCCCCCTCCCCCAGTCCATCCCCTGCCACACTCCACCCCAGCCCCCGCTGCCCCGGCCCCAGGGAGGCTCTGTGGAGAGAGGTCCCCAGGGGGTTAATTTGCTGTCACCTAATTAGCATT